GTCGTCTTTCTTGAGCTCTCATATTCTGTTTGGGCATCTATGCTGGCATGGCCTGCATGCTTCTTGCACCCGAAGCCAGCGCGCACGCGCGCCTCCTGTTCCAGGCGCTTCCGCTCCTCCTCGTGCTCCAAGGACTGCCGCTCCTTGTCCTGCATGGCAAGGGCAAGAGCACTAAACCTCCGAAGGACACCCTACGAGTAGAAGTCGACTCGAGCTCCGCGAACGAGCTGCCTCCCAGGTCTGCTTCATGAAGCTCTCCATCTCCTGGAGCTGCGTCTCGTAGCGACCTCGGGCCAAAGCAGCCCGCTCCGGTCCCTAGGCCCTAGCTCCGCCCCGGCCCGGCCCCTTTCGAGCGCTCCGCTGGTGTCCGCGAGGCCCGAGGCTTGCTCCGCCAGCTTCAAGCGCAAGGCCTCGCGCGCGCGCGCGCTGGGCGCTCTGGGCGTCTTTTTCTGTGTCCTCTCTGCTTTCCCCCGTTGGAAGCTTCCGCCGCTGCCGCTTCTCCGCCTCCACTTCCTCCTCGAGCTTGGCAATCTGCTCCGCCTCGTCGTTCCTCCGCAAACGCGTCCCTTTCATGAAGCGCCCTCAGCTCCGGGGCTCCCCGCTTCGTGGCGTTCACCTTGATGGTCTTCGCGCGCCTGCCGCGGCGGCGCAGGCGCGGGCGGGCGCTCCGGCTCGCTCCGTCGCCGTGTGTTTGCTTCTCTTTCTGAGGTTCCCGGCTTGGCGTAGTTCAGCGTGGAGAGCGACTCGTCCGCGTTCGTCCGCGACGGCGACAAGGCGGCCTTAAGGCTGCTTGGACCGCCCTTTCGAGAGGAGTTGCGTGAAAGTGGCGCATGAAAGTCTGAAGTTCGAACACGGAGTTTCGAGAAGGAAAAGCTTGCACTTCGAATCATTGAAGGCTTCGTCTTGAAAGATGCGTGCGAGTTTGGAGCTCGAAAGCTCGAAGACGCAGCGAAGGGCGCCGGCCCATGGACGTGAGGTGCAGGACACGAGGTGGGTCCACGGAGCATCTTCCAGGCCAGAGATTGAAAGCTTGAGAGGTTCGAGTTTGAGAGCTTGAACACCTGGGGAGCTTGGAAGTTTGCGAGCTCGTTGAAGGGGGGAAGGCTTGAAACAGCAACCCTCGAATCGAAAAAGTGACAGACACGGAGTTCAAGGCTTGGAACGCTTCAAAAGCTTGAGAGTTTGAGAGACTGAAAACCGTAAGTTGGAAAGTTTGAAGGTTCCAAGTCTAAAGCGCTGACAGTTTACTGTTCGAAAAAAGCATGCAACTTGAGATCTTGGGTGTTAAATTTTCTGATCGATGTTCTAGTGATTCTAGTGGTTGAGCTTTGTCTTGGGTCTAGCGCCTGGGGCTTGAAGTTTCGAGTTGCCCAAACTACTTCAACCTTGAGCACCACTTCGCTTGATGCTCCTCAGGTCAGTCTATGTATCCCATCGCGTACAAGACTAAATGGGTTCAATCTTTAATGCTCCGAGGCCGTCAACAACTTACATCTTCATCTCCGAAACCCAAGACGGATAACCACAAACGTGTCACGTCTCTACAGCTACCACAGACCGCTGCATAGGCATAGGCCTTTTGCAAGCCGGAGCATGACTAACGTGTATACACACCACCGCTCAAACCACAATTCCAAGCTCAGAAACTTGCACTGCAAAACAAACGAGCACCAAAACGTCATCTGTAAAACTCTCGAACTGTTGAAGTCCGAATCTTTCACGGTTCGATAATTTCGACCTTGGCCAGCCTTCAAAGGAAAATTGAAGCCAACCTTTCAAACTCCGGTAACATTCTGTTTCGAAATGTCGAACTTTCGAGTACGAACCTGTCCTTCGAACTTCAAACTCTGAGAGTCGATCGAATTCGGACGTCTTTGGGCTTTTGGAGCTTGAGGCAGCGAGTCTTGGAAGCTTGCTTGAAAGTTGCTTTCCGTGTTTTTAAACAGTTAAGAGGTTGACGGCCGCGCTCGCGGCGCATCCCAAGCTGCCCAAACTTTCGCTCTCCAGCACCGTTCAAACCACCAACACCTGGAAACTTTCAAGCTTCCAAGTTCGACCGGCCTCAATTCCCTCGCCTGGTGCCCTTCAAGCCTCAACCGGAATAAGCAGCATGGCTTGCAGGATGCTTGCGGTTAGCCGACATCCAGCGTCCACGCTTGTCGGGACGGCTCGACTTCAAGCACGAGACGAGGTCTTGCGTTCTTCTCTTCTATGAGAAGATTCCCATGAGTGTCGTGTGTCCTTTCGGCCGATATTGTTGGGGTGAGGTTAAGGGATGCTGTCTGCGAAGCTGCGTAGCTGCATCTTCGGGTGCTGTGGCTCCTGGGACGAGGCGGCCGCGTGGCCGCGGGGGCTGCTCTGAGCCCTGGGCCATCATCGTCGTGAGCGCGTTGCCGCCCAGGGACTCCTGGCAGAGCTGCTGGCGGCTCACGGCGGCCACGCATCCTCTCCCGCTCCGGCGCCCTCTCCGGGCCTGGAGCACCCGCGTCAGCTTGGAGTTCCTGTACGGGATGAAGACCTGCGGAGGGCAATGGCGGGCATCCGCCGCTTCTCGACGGAAGCCGAAGCAGACTTCCGAGGCAGCTCACCTTCTTGCTCCCGGAGGCCATCGTGCTCAAGGCGTTGATCACGTTTCCAAGGGCAGACCTCACGTCACCGCCAAAGCCCAGCTGCCCAGCCGGACTCTCTCTTTCTCCTGCTCTCTCCCCGTGTCTCTCTCGGGTGGCCACAGGCTTTTGTTGATGTTGGCCCCCTCTTTCAGAGTGTCTCCCTGCAAAGGACGTCCACGCACTGACGGCATTCACCAAAGCGGCCGGGGGCCTGTGCACCCGTTCGGGAGGCTCGCTCGCTGCCTGCCAGGTCCTGCTCAGCTTTCCGACCACCCCACGCCCGGCCCAGAAGAGTGTCTGCAGCGTTTAAAAAGCGCTCTCCACGAGGTTCATCTTCGAGAAGTTATTGTTGCCGGCGTTCTGCTCGTCCTCCGATTGTGAGACCCCCCTCCCGGCCCCCCAAAGTGGGAACCAAGGGCAGAAGGTTTTTGCCTTCTGATGCATCTTGATGATGAAAAGGCAGTGCGACCGGCTGCTGGTGGCATTCATCTGAGTGGCCGCTGTCGCCCGGTGCTCGAATCCTGGAGGCGCAGCGCTCAAAAAACTCCACTTCCACTAATAGGTGAGTGGCCGCCCGCGGCCTTGGTCGATCAGTTTCAAGACCTTTTCGGAGGAGTCCACCACGATCTCTTGCAGGTCCTGTCTGGTCAAATCTTGCGCACCACTTAGTCACTGCCGAATCCACTCTCGGGCTCTCCTTGACGTAGACTCCGATGCCTTTGCCTTCCCGGATCTCCAAGCCTTAAGGGACAAGAAGGGCTTCAGCCACCCGAGAGAGCAGCTGATTTCTTGTGAAATCTGCAAAGAGCATGCGCGCGCGGGCGCGCGCGCGCGGGGCCTGTCTTCGGGGTGTTCTTCCCCCGCGGAACCAGGAGGTCATAGACGATCTGACATACGGGTCTTATAGCCGAAAAAAGGAGACTTGCCATGCCGGCCCCCCGGGGGGCGCCTCGTTGTAGATCTCCAAGAAGGAGCAGCAGATCAGGAACTTCCGGGTCTCCTCCACGCAGGGCTCGCGGCACTGCGACTGCGACTGCGACCCGCTCCCCATCCCCCCTTCCCCCCTTCCCTCCCTTCCCTCTTCGCTCCGAGGAGAGCTTGGAGACGCGCTGGAACAAGTTGTCCGAGATCCGGGGAACCCTCGCGAGCCGTCGCGATCTAGCTCGAGTCCCACCCAAGAACGGGTACCCACCAGCTCAGGTCTCTGCAAACCACGATCGTCGGACTTACGATCAGCCATCATTGTGTGAGTCTTGCCTGATCCTGTCTGACCTGAGCTGGGCGATGCGTGCCGCTGCGTGCCATGATGCGCCATGCCATGCAGTCCGTCGCTACTCGCTGACTCGCGACCAAGGAGTGGGCCGTACGCGAAGATCGTGGCATTGTAGCCTTCGAAGGCTTTGTCCTCGCCAGGGTCAGGAACTCAGGAGCCGCCATTTGCACATGCGATGTTTTCCGAAAGGCCCGGTCCAACAAGGGGTTCCCCAACCTGAGAGGAGGTTGTGGCGTTTGCTAAAGAACAGCCTTAAGGCAGGCCTTGCTCTGCTCCCGTCGCTACTCTGCTCTCAGGTTCCCGGGCATTTCGAAGACCTCCGGCTGCGTCGAGTCCTTGCCGAAGACCTCAATTCTTCATCAACTGAAACGAAAAGCCCTCTTAATAAGCATAAGCCTTACCGCAAAAAATGGCCCCTCCACTCAGTCACTCGGTGTCCGAGCATTGTCGAAAGCGAAGACATTCGGAGGCTGATTCTCTTGGTGGAGCGTCACGGTGTTATCTTTGGCGACCTTGCCATCGGATCCAGCCGGAGCGGCCCGGAAAGAGAGGCAAAAGGCACACTGCCTCCACGCACTCCACGCCACCTTCCTTGATCTCCTTCTCGCTCAGCGGCCGCACCCGCACCGCCACCTAGAGCTCAGGCGGGCGCAATGTGCAGCTCCCGCTGTCCCAAAGTCCCAAAGCGCCTGCACTGTGGTGGTGCCGACGTCATCGGTCATGGCAGCTGGGACCCAGTTGGGCCGGGGGGTAAAGGTATCCCAAAGAGTCTCTAGTCACTCTAGTCTTGCTTGGTCTGGGCGGCTCGGAAAGGGTGCAGCGGGCTTGGGTGCATCCCCATCAGTCTGTCTATGAGTCTATGGCCTGGAATCTGCTGTCAGTCTTGTCGCTTCCGTCTCTGTTGCTGGTCCGTGTTCCATGTTCTGTGTGGCCTTGCATGCTTGCATTGGCTTGCATGTCGCAACAGCAAGAATGCAACAACAATCTTGCCCAGATAGTGGCAGGAGGATGGACTGAAAGCTGTCGCAGCTTCTTTTTCTGCGACTGCATGGGGCGGGGTCCCCGCTTTAAGCGGAGGGGCCCCGGCCCGAGTGTGAATTCTCCCGCGCATGGCGCGCTCACTCCACGGTGGCGAAGCCTTCCTCCCAGCCTCGCAGCGCAGCGCAGCGGAGTCCGCAGCGCAGCCCGCAGCGGCTCGCGGCTCGCGGCTCGCCGCTGCCCTGCTCGGGCTCCGGCCGTCCTCGGGGTCCAGGTAAGGCATCGGCTCGGGGAGATCCTGCGCAACAAGGACAAGGAGCTCGCAAAGATGGGCCCGAGGGGCCCGTCCCCGTCGTGACTCGTGGGAAGTTTTGGAGCCCTGCTCTCCTTCGGATCCGCAAGGAAGTTGGACAAGTCCTGCTGAGAAAACACACTGACAGCGCCCAGCTGCTCATGTCCGGAGCTCTGTACCAGATTCGCATGGCCGGATTAGAGCACAAATCGAAAAGGCCGTGAAAAGGCGCGTGTTACGGGGATCTTGATTGAAGCTTCGAGCGGTGTGAGCCCGAAGGGCTTGCGAGATGACTTTTTCTTCCTTGGATTCTGATGTGCCACATCTGATCAGAGAGCACGCTTGCAGCAGAGTCCCACTCCAAGTCATTTCTCAATCGTTACGAACACTCAATCTCTCCTTCCCTCATGACTCATGACCGAGAACTGGCTCGCTGCGGCCTCGTCGTCAGCAACATCCGGAACATGAGGCGGAGGCATCTCTCCCGCCTGAGCCGTCTAGAGGGCTGCCCAGAGGGCTGAAGAATGCAGAAAAGAACCCATGGCTGCTTTGCTCTGCGACTGCCTGCGCTGCGTCCCTCCCCTTACCGCCGCTCTCAGCTCAGCGCCTGCAAGGCGTTCCAGTCGAAGCCCTCGAACCACTCGTGCTCCTGCCAAGGCGGTTCGAAGCGAAGGGAGAGCCCAGGCCGGTCCAACAAAGAGAGGCGGAGGCGGAGGCGGAGGCGGCGGCGGCGGCGGCGGCGGCGCGACGCGAGGGCGCTCACTTCGTCACTGAAGCGGTGTTTTGACCAGAGCAGGGCACTGCAGGGCACCAGACTCCGCCGTCTCCTGCAAATGCTTGATGCCACCTGGTTTCACGGGCAGCCGTTCCGCGGGCAGCGGCCTGCAGCGACGTTGCGCACACTGGAGAGACCACTGAAGAATATAGGTCATACAGGAAGCGCGGGAGCTCCGTGCGGGTGCTCTGAGACCCTCTCCTGGACAAGGCCTTGATCAAGCGCTCGGGACCGCCTTGCGAGCGAGCACGCACGCGCACCCCCTCTTATCAGGGCACTAAAGAAAGCACTCTGAGGCTCAGAGCAGGTCGTCTGGAGCTTAGAGCTCTCTTGAATTCCCGACTTCTTCGAAAGCTTCGAAAGCTGAATGACGCGTGTCGGCGAAGGACTGGGACTTCAGAGAACTTCAGAGATCACCACGGCCGTTGAACGCAACGCTTCAGCTCTGATGTCCAAATCTCAGCGGGCCCGGCGGGCCCACAGCCCTCCCCACGCGCGGTCCCCATGGCCGGCAGCACGCGCTGCACACGAGACACGGAGCGCCGCGAACGCCCCGCACGGAGCGCACAAAGACAAGAAGAAAGTTGAAGTTGCCCTCGCCCTTGTTCGCGAGCGGCAGCGCACAAAGACACGCTGTGGCTTTGGATCCCAGACGGCAAAGTGGGGCGAAAGAGCAGATGCAAAGACCTACAAGTTGAGAAAGCTCAAGCAAAAGAGACAACGCTGACATCGACCTCGGCACGAAAAAGGATGCTTGACGCCAGCTTGGCTGAAAGAACCAAAAGTCACCAAAACAAGGAGCCGTGCCTCCCAGAGCAACACGACAAGCACAAGTAGCACAAGCAGTAGCGGCGAGAACGCGGCTGCACGCTGCACTTTCCAAAAGCACTGGAACTGAGGCCCCTCTTGTTTTGATGCCGTACGCGGCGGGAGGTCGAAGCCGATGCAGGAGCCCAGGGTCGAAGAGTCAAGCTCAGAAGCCCAGGCAACAAGGGAGAGTTGAAAGTTGACCGCGACTGCCGGAAACCGAAGTGCTCGCAGCACGCGAGTGCCACGCGCAAACCTCCGAATGCAGTCTGATGCCTGCCGAGAGCAGGTTCCTCCCAAAAACCCCACGATCGAAGCATGAAAATCACCCAAAGCATCTGTTATATAGGCTCTCTCTAAACTCTCAACAAAGACACGTCTCTAGGCAAAGCTCCAATAGAACTCTCCGGCCGCGTCCGGCCCATGGGCGACTGATGCTCGGCGCCTTGACAGGCGCTCGGAAAGCTGGCCTTGTCGATGCCCCGCATCACCTCGCGCTGCGCCGCTCGCACTCTGAGATGCGCAGACTCAGAGTCAGCGCATGTGTGTGCGTGCGTGTGCGTGCCCCGCGCGCGCGCGCATCCTCTTCTCCTTCTCCTCTGAAGGACTGCCTTTACGGTTGGTGCCTTGGCGTAGATCTGCATGGGATGTGGTGCCATGAAGGGCGTGCTACTGCACCTGGGAGAAGGCTTCCATTTCACGGACCAGAGCCTCCTTTTGATTTTGGGTGAGCCACATCAGCTCGTAGAGGAAGATGCCGAGCGTCCACCAGTCCTTGGCTTGCCCCAGATGGCCCAGCCGCCGAGAATCCTAGAACGGCTAAGAAATCCTAGACATCAAGCATGAATCAGCATGAATCCTTAACGTATCAAGGCCCCTACACCAGCAGCCCCAACCAAACCCCAACTCACAACCTCGAAACTCCAAACCTTAAACATGAAGCCTCTACCCGAAACCCCCAAAGGGCTGCCCGGCTGCCCCTAAGTCCGAGACCCGACCCCCCAAACCCAACCCTGCACACTTTGAACCCTCAAGCAGCAGACTCAGATCCGCAAGTCCAAAACCCCTCAACTTACACCACAGCCCCAAAGCACAGGCTCTGCACCCGAAAGCATAAAAAAAACACCAAAAAAACCAAAAAAACCCAACCCAATACTTGGACACAACAGGGCGCAAGAAGATGCTGGCATGCCTCAATGCTAAACAAGTAATTATTGGAGTTCAGGGGTTTCGGGGTTAAGGTGAGGCGCTGGAGGCTTGAAGCCTTGGGGCTTCGGTTTACAGAATAGTACGCCGCGGCGGTGTGCATCTGATGACCACCTGCCCTCAGCAAGTTGAAGGGAGCGGGCAACCAGTACACCAAGGGGAGTGGGCGCACCAGGTGCAAGGCGAGGTGGTCCGGGAAGTTGGCTCAGGCCGAAGTGGAGAAGGTGAAGGCCGAGGAGCACGTGACCTCGGGTGCAATGTGGCCAGCGCGGCCAGAGGCTCAAGTGGAGCTCTGTGCTCGCGCATCAAAGGAAAAGCCGCCCGACCCAAGGCCGCCACTTCTAGTTCTTCCAATGGGACAGCCAGGAGCAGGAGAAGATTCCGGACTCCGAGCAGGCCAAGAGTCACGAGATGGAAGTCGAGACGCCGAAACTCGAGGAGACGAGGGGCCAGATGGATGATGAATGCCCAGGCGATCGCTCACCAGCGCGAGGTGGACGAGCTAAGGACCCAATTGGCCCGGATGCGAGGATTTGCCCAGCAGCGGCAGATGTCGGTTGCCAGAAGGAATCGGTCCTGAGAACAGTTGCTTGGTGAGCACGGGACCTCAGCTACGCAACTCGCGCAGGAAGCAAATGCTGAGATTTGGTTCAGCACCCCGGAGTATGCAAGTGTCAAGAACGTCTTACTGTTGAGATAATATGGTTCAGTGTTGGGTGAAGCATAGTGGACAGTTGCCTCGAGAATGTCGAGAGCGACTTGTGTTTGAAGATGAGCAGAATATTGTTCTCTGGAGTGAGGATGCCGGGAAACACAAGGCGCTGTCTCGAGAGCGGAAGAAAGCTATGAGCGCATTGTATGATGCCCGAAAGAAAACAGCGCCGGAGCCGAGTGAACAAGTGCTAGAGGCTGTATCACCTGAGGGAATTCAATGTTTCGTTGAGTATGGCAACTTGATGGCCACTTTGGATCCGAATTGCTCAAACCAGCTTTGGATCGACTTGAGGGACAAAAGCCATATGGCGCTGAGTCTTCGACCTCTTCGTGATGATCGGTCATAGGAGTTCGCAAGAGATGTTGCAGACTGGCAGCATGTTCAAGGCAAGGTGTTTGCTGTGACGTGTCAAGATGATGAAGATATATCGTTGCAATCGAAAACGGACTGGATGTCGAGCGCCTCTTTCGGCAGCAACTTCCTTCCAGAGAAACGGTGATAACCAACAGTGAGAAGATGAGCAGGAAGCTACACCGAGCGATGATGGAAGACCGTGTCGTGAACCACGAGGACGCCAACGATCTTCAACAGAATCCGGAGACACACCAGGTCAATGTGACGTTTACAAGGGTAGCGCGATGTTCCACGTCGACAGAAACCGGAGGCACACCAGTCGTTCTTATATGTGTTTCAGGAGCGCGGGGGCCCGTTGTCAACGGATGTGTGTCAGGAGCACGCGGGTCCAATGAGTCAACACTACATCGCTCAATAGCTGGAAAACAGAGCGAGCCTTTCCCACTATCAGTGGGTCTTTGACAAAACGAAGGATGCCGCCTCTGTCAGTTCGTGGGAGGAAATCAAAAAACCTAATGTTTGAAGTGGAAAGCGCCCGCAATCGATATGGAAACAGGAGCGGACCACCTAGACCCACAACTTAGGGTGCTTGCAACCCGTAAGGCGGCGCAGGAGGCCTACACGAAGTCCCAGACCGAGACTGCCATCACCAAGGCCAAGAACGCCAGTGAGAGGATTGAAGTGGAGTTTCTTCTGGGCGAGACGGTAAGAGACGTCATATGATGACGCCGGAGGCTCACGAGGGACGGAAGCGCTCATGGGTGGGACCAGGCTAGTCTATGCATCTCAATGAGGAGCTGTGGAAGGTGAGCCAAGAACAGTGCCGACACGCTACAAATGAGGAGCAGATGGCGCTTGCAGGTGAGCTGGAGGCATTGCGCGAGGAGCTGGGGAGGACTTGGCTCAAGCACAGGACATGACAGGGGATGGTTTTCCTCCAGATTAAGACGCTGATCCGGGAATGGATGGAAGCGGAGTCGAGATCGGCTATGCAACCCGAACAAAGTGAAGGGAGCGCTCATGCCTCGAAGATTGAAGCTACGACAGTCCTACATGGTGGGAGAAAATGGCACTGTGGAGAAGGCTGATGACCTGTGGTTTAAGTCGCGCAAGAACAGTTGCAAAACAAAGAAGTCATGAGTTGGATTTACACTGTTTTGGAACAAGGCTGCGAACCTCCCTCGAGAACTATGTGGCGGAAAAGGCCCGTGGACATGGCGAGGTGTTTGAGCACGAGATCTCCGGGACAGAGTGGCGCAAGACAGACCAAGGCAAGTGGGACAAAGTGGTAGCGACAGGGGCAATCAAAGTCCTGGATTTGGAGAGGTCACGAGAAATCAGGAGTGGACCTGAGCGAGATCGAATCAGTCCATCGAGAATGGTGAGGAGCTCGCCAGGCAGGGGTTCCCGATTCGAGAAAAAGTCGGTGGTGCCTCAGAGGCGACACAGATCCTGACTTCCTGGATCTTGAAAGTACCTTGAACACAACTTTGTTCGGAGTTCTGCTACAGATCGCCGTGAGCATGAAGTACAAAGCGATGGTGGAGACTTGAAACACACTTCTGTCGATCGTAAGAACTGCGCCTTTTACACAAGCTTGCCTCGTGGTAGACTAGAGGCAGCCGTGGAGGAGCAGTTGCTGGAAATACTCGCCCGGGTTTATGGATTCGGAGATTCAGCAAGACATTGGAAAATTCATCCTGAAGCCATTCTTGGCTTGGGCTACAAGGAATCTGTGATCGATCCTACGGTCTACTTCCTGCAGACGGAAGACAAACTGGATGGGGGCGATTGCTGTCGAGGTGGACGACCTGTTCACGTTTGGCAACGAGATCCACGAGCTCCGAATGGAGGCCCTCCAGGAAAAGTTCAAGTTCGCGAAATACGAAGACGTCAAGAAGTCCCAGGACGGTGTAGCTTTCAACGGGAAGGAATTCCACGTGGGTTTGCACAAGTTTTTGTGCGGGAGGCGGAGTCTTGTGCAGCTCAGCAAAGGACGAAGCTCATAGCGACAAACACTGACGAACGACAGCGAGATCAACCAGATGCGTGCAGTGATCGGAGCGCTCAATTGGTTGGCCAAAGAAGGACGACCGGATGCCGCACCAGCTGCCTCGTTGGGAAGCCAGTGGTGCAGGACTTGCTCGACGTCAACAGCGCCGTCAAGATGCTAAAACAAAAAAACTCAAGATCCGGATCCGGATCATTGACATGTCGAGGCTAACATGCGGAGTGATGGCAAGGCCCAAAATGGACCGGATGCTGGCTCTGGTGCCAGCTGCTTGAAATGATGGGCGAAAGTGGAGCCTTTGTATCATCGCCGCGAAGGCACTGTTTTATCACTGATCAAAAGAGACGACCGGGCCCTCACGACACAAGTGGCCGAAGCGCTTGAGGAGAAGCTCAGAACGCGAGAAGAGCGTGGATACAACAAAAGATGACACAACAGCGAACAAAGTTCGGGGAGCTGTGAATTCATGTGCATTAAGCTCTTCTGAGTGAGTCTCTGTTGTGTCGTGTGACGCCAGGCGAATGCCCCTGGCATGCGGCCCAAATCTAGGGACCCCTTGAGTCGATGTTTTTACGCAGCAGAGGATGGCGTGGAAAAGCCGAATGCATTGCAAACGATAGCTCCACCTGAAATCACATCCTTACAAACACATAGTCCGGCCAGTGACTGTGACTCTGACGACAATAGCTCTGAAAAGCAATTAGCTAAATCGTAACTTCAACTTGTGGAGGCGGGACTGCGACAAAAGCTAGGGCAGAGCAGCAGTGAACAAGCCGAGGCAGGCAAGCGGACTTTTTCAGGAGAAACATGCCGCCGCGTTGGCTGGGTGGAAGGGCTTCAGCGTAGGAGCCAAAGAAGGCACTGAAAAACAATCATGCTATGCAGGAGAGCCGGGCCGGCGGCGAGCATCATGAGCATCATTGGCTACCGGGCGCGCCCGGGAGGCGAGCATCATCAGCATCATTGGCCGTTCGTTTCTCCATTCCATGGCAAGCCGACACACGCCGTTCTCATGCCCGAACAAGAAGAAGGTCTCGTCAGGCGGGAAAATGAAATTTTTGGAGCCGGCACGGCGAACATCACGAGCATCATTGGCGCCCGGCCGGGCCCGGAGGCAAGCATCATGAGCATCATTCGCGGCTCGTTTCTCCATTCCAGGGCAAGCCGAAACATGCCCTTGTCATGCCCGAAAAGGAAAGGTGTCTCATCAGGCGGGCAAACGAAATTGAAGTTTTGGAGGGCCCTGTCCCCACACCCCTTGTTGCAACCTTCGGCTCATAAGAAACTCCGCTAGCCCCGGAGGCGAGCTTTCGTGATTCTTGTCGATTAGTTCAGAGTTTAAGTTACTTATATAGGAAGTTGTGGCTTCGCACTCAACCGGCTGTCTACACCCTTAGGAAATGGTCCAACTGGGGCACTGAAGCCAATAGAGCATTGCAATGACACACTGCACTGAACGCACCTTCTATCGCCAGGTCTCGACTGCCGAGGTCTGTCCCGAGAGCCTCAGAAGGAGCCCCCCACAGAGAGCGCGGACCCTTGCAAACTCGGCGCAGTGTGCAGAGGCTGCAGGCAAGCCACGCGATCACCTGTGCAGGAGCAGAGCTGCAGGGGCAGATACGGGAATTCCTTCTGTACTCTGCGTCCGGGGTCGTTCTCCGGCCTCTGGCGCGAAGTATTCCGGCCTGAGAGGGGCGAATGCGGAGTCAGAAGAGAAAAGCGCAGCGCCTTTTGTTGACCTGTTCGCAGTGCAGCCCGGCAGCGTGCCGCACCTCGGAGCGCAGAGCGCAGCAAGCACCCCCTGAAGCGCTTGAGCAATAAACGAGGCCGGGGGACGTGGTGTAGGTCTTCCCGATGACGAGCTTTGCCAGGCCCATGTCAGTGAGCTTCAGGAACCTCCGCAAATCTTGAGCGGCCTATGATGCCGACCGTGGCGGCAGGCATACTGTTACTATATTAGCGTGAATGAATGGCTGAATAGCTCACCCGCGACGGTCCAGGAGAACATTCTCCGGCTTTAGGTCCTGCAGCGAGTGAAAAGGCGCCCTGCCCTCCGCGGCGGAAGTGACGGAAGTGCCGACCCGGCCCGATAGACGATGCGCCGTTCGTGCAGGTGCTCCAAAGCGAAGCTGGCGCCTGCCTCGGTTGCTCTGACCCCACACGTCCCCCCAAAAAAAACTGCTGCGATCCCAAGTTGCTTTTGTGTCTCTCTCCGCCAGGACACGACGTAGTACCGAGCGTGGTCCATGGATCCCCAGAAGCCTTTCCTGCGAGCCATGTCTGTGACCTGGTGTGCTGGCAACTTCTCTGAGCCTGGAGTAGGTGACGAGAAGCTCCCCACCTGCAAAGCGAAAGGCGCCAGGCTCTGCGCACCAAAAACAAAAGAAAGGAAGGGCGCGCTTCCGAGGCCCCCAGCCTAAGGCCGCCTCCATCAAAATCTCCAGGCAGTCGTCGCTGGTGAAACACTCCACGAGTCGAATCAGAAAGGGCCTCGGAGCCGGAACGTGCGCCAGGCGCGGAAGGCCGCGCGGAAGGCGCAACTTTGAGACCGAAGCGAGCGAGTCATCATCATCACCTAGGAAGGCGAAGAGGCGCGACGAGGCGCGACGAGGCGCGAAGCCGAGCCCAAGTGACGTGCCTTCTTCTCACTGTAGACCGTTTCCTTTCTTGGGCCGGTCAACCACTCGAAATCAAGAGCACACGGAGAAAAGATAAGAAGAACCACAAGTCTTGAAGTCGCGACTCCTGCATCCTGTACTTCATGATGACGCCTGCATGGGGCATTCAGCACCACCAGAGCAACAGGTAGAGACGAGGCGAGAAATCGCCAGCAGTGCCCTTGTCGATGCTTTTCAAGGCATAAGTCGCACCAGTTTCCTGAGCAGGTCTGCCCAAACTCGGCCGCCACTGGCCTTGCTCCGAGTGATGCCGAGTGACTGTGTGTTGCCACAGCTCCACCTTCGAAAAGCCGCCGACGCCCAACAAGCCGACGTGCACCAAATCCTGCGCTGCCATCATGTCCGGGGAGTGTCAGGGGTTGCCGGGGCCGGATGCCGCTGGCGGGTTTTGCGGTGAACTTCCCGTCCTGCTTGTAGATCTTGACCCTGTCTGGGCTGAGAGCAACGCCCCGCTGAGCTTCCCTTGACTGCGTGAGCAACTGCGTGTTGGTTTATGTTGACGTGCCGAGGCTGCAACATCTCCTCGTGCTGGCTGAAGCGATCTGTCTGCCTTCTGCACTTCTGGCTTTCGATGATCTCCTGTCGCAAAGCAGTGCCCTTAAAGAAGGCCCGGCCAGCTGCCCTAGCTCAGCTGGGCGCCTTCAGCGGTCCGAGTAAGGCTTGGAAGGCATCGCGGTCCAGCACCAAACACCGCGCCGAGGCCGAGGTCACCTCGGCGCGCGCGATCGCAACCAATGCGGGGGGGGCCGCTGCCGCTAGGCCGCTCCCATCCCCTCCCTCTGCCCCTCCCTCTGCCTTCACCGTCGCAGCCCTCTTCTCGTCTTCCAGCCTGGGCTCCCCCGCTCCCTGCGCCCGCCGCGCGCGCGGGCACTGCCGCTTCTGCTTCCGCTGGCGCTCTTAGGCCCCATGCAGCGCGAACTCCCCGAAGTACTGGGTGGTGTGGCGCGCCATACTCGCCTCTGAACATATATTCGTGAGACAGCGGACTGCAAGCCGTCTCGACGCTCAGCGTGAGTGAGTTCATCGATTGTGGTCGCATTGTATCTGCGCAGACAGCATCCAGAAGACCACGCGCAAGAGGGCCCGCAAGGGATCTAAGTGAAAAGTACTCTCAGTCTTCAGTTGCTCACACTGCCCTGATTCTGAATGCCTCCAAGGTGGTGATCCTCATGTCGTCCTTCGTGCAATTGAATCGAATCACAGAGGGTTCAGTGGAGTCCAGCACCTAGGCTTATAGTCTTGCATGCTAGCTTGACAGCTCCCAGCCTTGTAAACATTGACAGTTCCGGAGAACATGATGTAGAATGTCGCTCCGGTTTCTCCTTGTGTGATGATCTGCTCACCTGAGGCTGAGCCGGCTGAGCACGGAGGCGGAGGCGGGGACTGCAAGAGAGCCGAGAGCGCCTTCGTAGAAGTGCATCTCCACCAAGGCCTTCCGGCGAGCCGGCGAGCCGCGGGCGAGCCGCGAGGCATGCCGCTCCGCTCTTTCCGCCTGGGCCAGCTCCAGGCGCTCCTCCTTCAACAAGGCCGACCTCCGTCTCTGACCCGCGCCCCGCTCTTCCTCTCTTCCTCTCTTCCTCGCCGCTCGCTCCACTCCGAGGCGCTCGCAGCAAGGGCACCGCGTCCAAGTAGCCTCCCCGTGCAGCTGCCCGCAGCCGCGGGGCACGTGCCCCGTACAGACAGCACATGCGAAAACCGCCGGCTAGGAAAGCTCCGCCGCTCCTCGATACTCCTCTAACTTCTTCGCGCTGGCCTGCGAGCGTAGACCGGCCCACCCGCCCCTTCCGAAAAGCCGAGCGCGGAACCCGAAGCAAGATCTCCTTGAAGTGGGCGCGGTCCAGGACCTTCCGGACTCTCTCATGCACTCCCGCCTGCGCCTCCCTGGCCGGAGGGGCAGCGGCCCAGAGCACGGCGTTGGTCGTGGCCTCCAAACGGGGCACGTGCGGCACGTCGGGTCCCGAAGGCGGCAGACGCGTTAGGGGCCTTCACGGAGGCGGCCCGCGGCGCACAGTAGAGCCTCAAAAAGGAGAGTGCTTCGGCTTCCCCCCTCTTTAACCGAGCTCTGGGTATCGCCAAGAGGCAGAGCGAGCTCGCCGAAGCTCTGGCCTCGGACGCCGTGGACGCGGACCGACGCCGACGCTGCGACCCTACAGTAACCTGCCGCTGGCCATGCTCGACGCGCTGATCTCTTCGGCATTTTCCGTCCCAGCTCTTTGCCGTCCCCGATATGGCAGCAGCGTGCTGTCTGGGATTGAAAAGGCCCAAGGCCGGCACCAGAGGTAGCCGCAGGTAGCCTAGATGTAGCGGTTGATGAGTTGTTCCAGGTACTCTTGCTTGCCGCTCGCCGTCCCTGGCTCCGGTGTCTTCAGAGCATACGCCTCGAGCTCCTCCAGGGTCGCCTTCCCTTCTTCCACCTTTTTGGCTAGAGGGCTGGACCAGGACAGGTACCTCGAAAGAGAGGGCCAGAGCAGAGTGACCCAGGCTGCATGGCACTGCATGGCACTGCATGGCAAGGGCCGCTGCCTGGTGTCGAGCGCCTTCTGCAGCAAGTTCTCTTGAAGGAGCTTGCAAGCACCAAGCAGCCCGCGGGCCAAGCAGTCCATCCCTAGGCGTTGAGGCACGAAGAGAGGGGCGGGCGGGGGGGGGGGGGGGNNGGCATCTCTCCGGCTTCACTCTCCGGCGCCTCCAATGTGGGCAATGAACATGTCTTCGATGTCGGTGCTCTCTCGTCGAAGCTTGCAATCAAAGTTGTTGCCTCCAGGAGCGATGCCGCCCTGCTGCACGATGATCAGCATCGAGAGCAACGCCTTCCTGAAAAACGGTGGAGGGGGGGGGGGGGCGCTGCTCATTCTCAAGAGAGAGCGCGGAAAGCCAAAGCCAAGGGCGCCGTGCCTGGGATCCGACGGGAACTCGTCCGTGTCCCAGCCGAGGTAGGGCTGCCCAGCATTGCCTCGACAAGAGGACGGGGGGCGGCCCGTCGTGCACGGGCCGGGACGAACGCCCCCCCCCCCCCCCCCCCCCTGCGGCCCTGCCCCGCCGAGCTCGGCTCCCCGCAGTCCACGGAGCCCAGCATCCCCAAGGCCGAGGCCATGCGCAGGTCGTGCTCCTCAGAGAGCAAAGCGCGCTAACGCCTGACTCCTTCTTCTCTTCCGAAATTGCGAACTTCGGCTCTTGGGCCCGGACGTAGTCGTGGCCGGCGAGCGTGGTGTGGTTGGGCTCGATGTTCACCTTGAAGTCCTTCTCCAAGCCGTGCTGGTACAAAAAGCCGATGACCGTCTGAGCGTCGTAGTCATACTGGTGGGCCGTCGGCTCTCGAGCCTTGGGTTCGATGGCGAACTGGGCCTCAAAGCCAATCTTCTTCTTGTAGTCCACTGCCATTTTCAGGAAGCTCGCCATGTGATCCAGCTCTGTCTTCACCTTCGTGTTCAGGGCCGTGGCGAAGCCCTCGCGGCCGCCCCAGAAGACGTGGGTCTCCCCCCCGAGCTTCTTGCCGACCTCGAGCATCTTCCTCGTCTGCGCCTAAGAGAGCGGAGAGCAGCGGGGAGGGGCGCTCTTTTGCGAGCGAGTGAGAGCTCTCTCGCCTCTCGCTTCTCTCTTCCTGCTCCGAGCAGCACAGCCATAGGCGAAGGCATCGAAAGAGGGCGCCGTGGCCTCGCAAAGAGGATAGCGGGGGCCGAGAGCCGAAGGCGCCGAGCCGCCGAGCTCTGAGATCCCCGGCCGCTCCATCCTTGTAGCGCCTCACTCTCAGTGAAGGAAGTGGGGTCACACACATGTGGGGACACCTAGCACTGGCCGCGGGGTCACCTGGGGGCACCTAACACTGGGCCCCGAACGGGTGCGAGAAGAGGTTCTGTGTCGCCTCTTCAGAAGAGAGGAGAGAGCGGGTGAGGCTCTGGACAGGCCGAGGATCGAACCCAGAGCAGCTTCACGCCGGTCTCCTTCTGCTTCTGAAGCAGCCTCACGCGCCATCTCAGGCTTAACGGAAGCGGCCTCGCGCCTAGCGGCAATTTGCTGGAGACAGGGGGCTTCTCGGAGATCGTGTCCAAGTTTGCCTGGAACTCCTGAGATCTTCAAATTCACAGAAGGCATCTTCTGTGGAAGTTTGGGGATGAACGCCTCTCACAGCCTGACAAGGCAGAGGCAGGCGAGATGTTCACCTCGCCCTCTGCTTTCCCTTTCCCTTTCCTGTCTCTCCTGGAGGCTTTGACCCTGCGGCGCAACGTCCACGTCATGGAAGCAGTAGTAGTCCACGCCTAACCTTCGTTCGACAGGACAGCAGGGTTCAGCGATTTGGCTTAGGAAGGCGCAGGGACATCCTTCAACCCAATTCATCATCCTCGACGGGAGAGGGAGGCGTAGACAGGATGCTTGGTGAAGAACTCAAAGGCCACGTCGACGCGTGTGAGGAATGTCTCGAGCGAGCTGTCAACATCCCAAGGTCTCACATGCGTCTTGACATTGCTAAAGGGATCCGTGCCCATTTGCCCATTGAATGTATGCCACCAGCTGACTGCAAAGCGGCACCAGTCCCTGCGATGAAGCCCGTTTCACTCAGAGAAAAGCGTGCACGAGCTTGCACAAGCTTGCGCTTGCTTCTATTCTTCGGCACTATCTGTATGAAAAGGACGTCATGGAAAGAGCAACCCCTCTTCACTGAAATCCGTGTGCACACCGTGGATCCTGAAGCCCCTCCTGGTTTGGGCATTGCGAACTGCCTCATCTTCTTGCCCATGACGAGCTCATCGGGCTGGTAATACTTGAAGGCCAGTGGGTTAGTGCTTTCCGGACCTTCATATCGAATCTTCGATATGGTCGGGAAGAACTCCGTTCTGGCACGCTTCGCTGGCTCCATGGCGGCAGGGAGACGCCCTTTTGCGTTGAACCGCTCTCGCAAGGGACCGGGCCGCGCAGCGCCGCGCAGAGTGGAAGCGCAGTGGCAGAGACCGCCTCGAGGCTCCGAGGCTCCGACCGCGCCGGTAGACGCCCATGACCTCGGCCCGGCATCTCATGCGGGACTGTTTTAAGGCGGGGGTTTTAAAATGATCTCCGCTCTCTCAGAATAAAGGCGGCCCGCGCGGCGCGGCGCTCGGCCCCCCGCAATCTTCTGGCCCCCGAACTTGCGGTCGTCCCAGGAATCCTTGTCCTTGCACAAAGGCGCAAATCTCCCCCCCCCCCCCAGCCCCCACCCCAAATGAAAGCGCGGGACCTTGATGACGATCTCACCTCGGCCCGGCTCGCGCTGTCCCACAGTGCCCAACATCCGCTATAACAAGTCGGGGGGCACTTTCCCTCGTGCACGATGTAGAAGAAGTCCGCCTGCAGAAGCCGCCCGCAATGGGAGCCCCCGGGCCGCAGGGACCCCCAAAAAGCGCCCGGATCCGCCCCTCGCCTGGACGTCCCCTTCGGTGATGACGTGCCGCCCGGCTTTCACGTACTCCTATAGGCTCGCAGGGCAGCTAGGGAGGAAGGGGGGGAAGGGGGCGTATACGTGGGCCCCCCCCCACTTCTTGGCCGAACAAAGCCGGTCCTTCCACATCACTTCTGCCAAGGCCGGGATCTTCTCTGCCAGGTTCCCGATCACACTCAAGTTCTCATTCGACATGATGGCCTCCGCTTTTTCCACGTCTTCGACTCTTAACTCACCGCAGATCACCGAGTCCCAGACCTGGGTGATGAGTTTCATGTCCTCCGGGGTCTTTGGCGCCGGCTCCTGCAGAGCTGCCGACCACATCTCAAGGCTCCCCGCTCCCGGATGCGTCTCCTTCGCTTTGCTGAACTTCTTCCCCGAGCTCACTGCAGCACGCCGGCCAAACTTCAACTTCTGGTGTAAGCCGAGAGCCTCGAGTCTCGCTTTTGCGGAATACTGTCGCTCTTGCCGGTCTCACCTGGAAGTCCGTGCGCTTGATCTTCAGGGTGTGCATGTCGCTCCTCAGCGGAGAGCCCAGAGCCCAGAGCGGCGAGGCCCCCCCCCCCCCCGCCCCCTTAAGTGGCCGGCAGCGCGACCACCGTCGCCGCACGCGGCTCGTCCCTCAACAGAGCGCCCTCACCAAAATGGTCCCCGGCCTCGCAGTCGTCAGAGCCAGGGCCAACTGAAGCCGAGATCAAGCTACACATCGAGGTATGTTGGTGCTCGCCATCTGAAGGCCTTCAGCGTGGCAATCCTCTCTTTTTGGCCGTTGGTCTTCTTGACCTGTGCCCCGCGACATGCACAATCCCTCACGCATGGCTTCGACCAGAGGTCGCTGCGAAGACTTCCGCTTGCCCCCTGCGAATCACGAAGAACCTTGTGAGAATGGCTTCGTGACGCGGCCGAGGGAAGGCAGGGAAGCGCTGCATCGGATGATCTGATGCGGCTTTCTACGTAGCATCGGATGGTTTTGGCTGCATTACTAGGCTACTGCGTCGCTGAAGCACGGCCAGTCGAGACGCGGACTCCTCGCCCCGGGCACCTTGCCTTGGCAACACTACGACAGCCCGTGACAGCCCTTCTGCTCCAAAAAATCGGAGCGGGGCCCGGGGCCCGGGCTTGATGATCTGGTCGTTGCGCTTGAACTTGCAGCCCTCGCACATGGAGGCGACCACCGGGTGCTCATCCTCCATGAAAGCTCTCCGCCCAGCGCCCTCCGCCATGCTCCGCGCGCCCCCTCCGCGCGCCGCTTCCCTCCGCGCCACAGCGGCGCCTTCGGAAGGCGCTGGAAGAGCGGCACGGTGAGTAAGAACTCGATCCGGTCCTGGCGCTCTCATACCGGCGACAGGACCTCCTCTCCTCCCTCAGACTCTCCCAGGGCCGCACTCTCTCTCTCTCTCTCTTTCTTCTCGTTCTCGTCTCTCTCCCTCTGTCGGTGACTTTCGAAGGATGCGTGGGGCCCCGCGGCTTCTCCTGGTAGTCCTTGTTGGCCAGCTCTGCCTTCTTGCTGTCCTTGCCCTCGGAGCGGAGAAGAAACCCTCCCCCAAACCCCTTAAGAACCCCTTGGTCGGTCTCTGTGCAAAGGCAGGGCGGCAGGGCCCGTCCCCCCGTCCTTTCGCTTCTGGGTCACGGCGCCGATGGTGATTTCTTCCTGCGTTGAGCATTAGAGACTGAGTCGGTCTGGGGTGTGTCGGACGAGGGGTCGGTTTCTGTCAGAGGCGCCGGCGGGCCCATAACTCACCGAACATCCCATCAAGCCTGGGGCCCTCTGCCCCACTCCCCCCTCCTCTACCCCATCTGGGTGCTGCCAGGCACGTGATTCAAGGACGCACAGCAGAAAGAGGCGGGTTGCGCAAAGCCTTTGATGCCTCGTGCAGATTCAAAGGCTGTCTCGGTAGTGCGTGCCAAGGGCTCGCGGAAGTGAGAAGGTTCGCGGGCTCAAGCCCAGGCTAGTGGAAAATCTCGCTAGCACGAACCTTCCAGCCAGGGCGGCTGTTACACCCTTACACCTCGGAGTATCTTCCGACACTCCGCGACACTCCGCAAGCTGAGGGCTTCAGGGTGCCGAGAACGGGGTGTTTTCCCCACACCACATTCTGGGATTCTGTTAGGGCACCCCTCCTTCGGGCAGAGACGCCTGTAAGCTATGCTGCTGCACGCTAGCTAGCAGCTGCACTGTGGCTTCTACCTCTGCGTATAATGGTCCAGCCCTTTGGGATGCCCTTTGACTCAAGTCATACCTCACGTAGCTGGAGTCGCAAATCCGACGTTGCGGAATTTCCTCTGAAAATCTGCACTTCCACCAGACGTTTGATGAGGATTCGTCTGGCCATGTCTTCGCTGACACTCTGTGCTGTTGAATGCGCCTTTGGCTAGCCACTGATCACTGCCAGCTTTGCACCGCAGCACAGGTCTGTACAATTCCGCCGAATTAAGACAGCACGCAAGAGCAATCGAGTCCCCGTGCCGCGATCAGCGGGGCAAACGACTCGAGATCATTGTGTGCCAGCGCATGATGTCAATCGGCGGCGTCCAAACCGGTGCTTCTTTCTGTTTGAACTCCTTCGCCTTGCAGAGCTTCTTGGCTTTCTGAAGGCAGCTCGCGGCATCCTGCGAAGAGCCGAAAGGAACCAAGTGCTGGGGCCCCTGGGGCCCTGGGGCCCTGGGGCCCAGGCCATGTTCTCGAAG